CAGCCCTCTCCCTGTGTGAGGGATGTCTTCTGAGGCTTTATTTATAAACCATTCATTCTTGCTGGCTAAAACCCAAGCGCAGAAAAGCCCGTTACTGAAGAAACTGTTGACTTCCAAATGCTGTTATCGGGAGGTTCCACAGAGCCGTCGGTTTGGCTGGGGACCGCCACGGGAGGCCCTCAGGAGGCCGTCCCCAGGGGGAATTTCGCCAGCCCAAAGCAAAATAAATGGCCAGCAGAGATTTTTCCCTGGCGGACTCTGTCCACACACAGGCCACGTCTTTCATAAAGCAGCATTAGCAATTCTTGTGACAACGCTAGCTTATTTTTATGTCTGGAAAGGTAGCGGCAGAGCCAGAGGACTATATCTTTCTCATTTGGGCACAACTGTAGCTGTGAAATGTGTGTGTGATGGGCCTGCTACCCAAATCCCTGGCCCAGAACCTCAGCCCAGCTTGACAGAATGCTATTTCTCCTCAAGGCTTAAGTGCTTAGTGGAAAAAAAAAAAAAAAAAGCGGGGCCTCGCTTTCTTGTTTCCATTTGCCAGCTCCACTTGGTTCCTTGAACCTTGTTTTAGGATGTCATTAGGAACTGTCCAAGCGCTGGCAAGAGTGATCATCCTTTGGATTTTTCCAGCACTCTGCTGTGTGGGGTTTGGGGGAAGCTAACTCTGCACCAGAGTGGTGCGGTCTGGAACCACTGGGTTTTCTCCCAGATATCAAGACTACATTCTGTTAGGTTTCTTGATGCAATGAAGAGACAAAAAAGATAAAGGAGGCGTTCATTGTGGGCACAGGGAAGACCGCAGGAAAGGAGAGCGGTGGAGCTTCCAAGGGCCTGGCAGCGGGAACAAGGGCTAGCTAGGGCCAGGATAGAGGTGGGGGTTAGGGAGAAGTGAGCATGAGGTGGCAGGTAGTGACTGGCCAGGAGGCAGGACAAGGAAATAGGATATTGTGAGAAGAAGCAGGAAGTTGCAGTTTGACCAGGCAGGAGGAAGGCGGAGCTTAGCACATGGTTCCAGTGGCCAGTGCCATGTTGGCTTGCCACCATAATGACTTAGCAGAACTTTTATTAAGGTGGAGAAAGCCCATCACATTCAAAAAGCCTCAAGTGAGTCCCAAAGAAGGGTGTGATCAAAGGGGCTGCATTAATGGAGGCTTTTGAAGGCACTGACTGGGAAAAGTTCATAAACACTAATTCTCCTTTTTTATCCCCACCAACTAAATTTAAGTCCAGTAATTGGAGGACCAGCAAGATAGCTCAGCAGACTAAGAGCCTGCTTAGGCAAGCACAGGGCCTGGGATTCGATCCTTGGCACCACAGGCCTCACTGGCCCCGCCCTCAGGAGCACTGAGCCAGCCACCAAGTCAGGGTGTGGTGGCGCACACCTGTAGACCTGGAGCTGGGGAGGCTGCAAACAGGAGGGTCACTGCTAGTTCAAGCTGCATAATGAGACCCTGTGCAAATACTACCAAAAACCCACCAGAAATGGACAGTAAAAACAGTGAAACCTCTTCCCCAGTCCCCCCAAATACTATGTGATTCACTCAGGTTTGATTCAAAACGTGAATGAAACAGATAGATGTACTTTTCCATAGCTCTGGGCAAACAACGTCTGCTGCTTGGCTGCCTTTAACAGGGCCTAGGGACCACTCTTAGGCCATGAACTAACCTCCCTTTACCCGCCATTCACTCTCCAGAAGGGCCATATTCCGGGGAGGAGGGCTGCATCTTCTGCACCATGCACGGAGCTTCCCGGATTCACGCTGCCTGTAGTAACTCCCATGGGAAGGAGGAGTGCTAACGGCCATGTCTCAGCCAACTCAGCTTGACAGGTTCTTCTCTATCCATCAGACCCTCGGCCCAGGTGCCCACTGTGCTGAGACGCTACCCCAGTCCCCTCAGAAAGAAGTCAGACCCGATGTGCTTCCATTATAGAGACTACGTTATAGCTTCTCTCCCCACCAGCTATAAGCCCAAGGGAGACTCCCCCTACTGCAAACCCTGGGCCACGTGTGTGGCTACAAGCATTTTCTGAGTGATGGTGGCCTGACAGTGAGTCCTTGCCTTTTTCTGGCCTGCTGCATAAAGTTCCCTCACAGAATTTAAGAATGAATGCCATCAAGGCCACTCTGCAGAAGTTTTAGAGAAAGGCTTTTGGGGTTGTAATGTTGGATCATCATCAGCTCCCTTCAAGGCCGTAAGTGTGTGGGTGAGTTTTGGAAGCATCGGCCCTGGCGCTGCTCTGACATTGACCTTCAGTGTATAAGGAAACCTCCGTGCAGCAGCTGAGCCCAGCTTCAGTGAACACCACTGCACTCAGAGGCTCCCCAAGAGCTGGCCCCCAAGCTGCTAAGTGGCTCTGGAAGCCCTGGCCCCTTCAGATGGAGAAGCAGAACCTCAGTCTTCTTCCAGAACAGAATTCATCATCTCCCACCTGCTCCGCACAACCGAGCGCCAGCCGCCTTGGCTTAACACAGACACGTTGACGAGCCACTGGTGCACCTATTCGCCTCATGTGCAGCATGTGCCTGTCATGTGCCAGTCGTTAGGCTAGATGCCAGGAGTTTAGCAGGGGCTCCCAGAGCAGGTATGGTCCTGCTCACTCATGGCCCACAAGAAGAGTGGACTTTAAACAAATGCACTTCACGGCTGATTCATTGGTTGGAAGTATTATAAGCATCTTGGTCTACTCAAGTTACCGTAACAGAATATCCTAAATAATTGATAAACAATAGAAATTTTCTTCCCACAGCTCTGGAGGCAAGAAGCCCAAGCTCAAGGCCCCTGTAGACCGTGTGCCTGACGGTGGTCCACTCCTTGGTTACAGACATTGTTCACTGTGGCCTCACAGGTGGAAAGAGCCAGCAAACTCTCTCTAAGAGCACTGGTCCCATTCCTGAGGGCTGTGCCCTTATGGACTGACTGTGTCTCAGGGACCTCCTATTCAGGAGCATTGACTGGGAATCAGGCTTTTCAGGAACCCCAATGCCCGTAACACTTATTGCAGCCTCCCGTCCACTGCAGTAAGTGTCGCCAGCAAGGGGAGCTACATAGCATACGTAAGCACAGCAGTGGAGGAGCAGGGCAGACGTGGGCAAGAAAAGTGCTGAAACAGACAGGAAGGTGATGGGAGGAGGAGAGCGATGCATGGTTGAGGGAAACCCCACGTAGGACAGTTTCCACCTAGGCAGACGCCTGGTGTGGCACCGGGGCATCCTGAGTAGCCACGCAGAAGGAGCAGCTGTGCGTCGATGTGGGCAAGGAGTGTGCAGCACTAAGACAGAAATGACCCTTAGCCCGCCAGTAGCTGGGGCACAACGGAAAGGCCGACAAGGGGCTCCCAGGAAACTGAATGACGAGGCTCTTGTGGGACAAGAAAGCCAGGCCACACCCAGCTCTCTTCCATGACTTGAGACAGCCTCTTCGCTGCTTTTCTCTCCCATCCTTTCTTCTTGCGTCCTTCCTCTGTCTCTCTTCTTCCTCCCTCTCTTGCTAGAGCTTATGTAATTCTTTCTCTTTTTGCCAAGTCTCTTGGTCAGCGCTGAATTGATCCAGTGGGGCAGCCAACCCCTCTCTGCCAACCAATTTCAATCTTTTTGTTTTTCAAGGAAGCTCAGTTACTGAAGAGAGTAGATCTGATTGAAGACTGGCCATTCACCAGAATTAGTTGGTTTGAATCAGGTGCCCCCGTGTACTAGACATGTGCTAGACATCTTTGTCACACTGAATTGGCAAATCAATTCATATTCCATCTGACCTCTGTGGAGTTCTACCACCAGAAATAGGGATGGCAGGCATAAGCAAATCAGCACAGCATATCCCTGGCCATAGGAACTGGTTCAGAGTATGTACATAATTCAGACTTCACGTAGGAATCCTAAGACCAACAATTCTCCATCTTTTAGGACCATCACAAGGGGAAATACTCATTTTTCCTGTAGATAGTGGGGTATGATATTGTAACATCCAGATCTTAAGCAACAATTTTGTGACATTAATAGAGAGCACAGAACCAATCCAGAGGAACCAAAACCAAGATTTTAAAGAAAAACTCACTGGAGGTGACATCGTCCATGCTGTGCCCCCAGCTGCGCTTGGAGCTGAGTCTGCCCTAAGACACTTCCAAGCCTATCCACTTCTTTGTGGTTTCTGGACCGGTTTGCGTTGGATTTTTAGACCAACATATTTGGCTTGCTCCTTGCCCCATGGATTATGGAGCAGGGCTTGGGAGAACAATTTTCTGCTCCGTGTGGGAAATGGCTCTTTGATAAGGTGATCGATGCCAAATAGGATCCTGGCACCCAACAGGTAAGAGGTGTCGCAGACCGACTGCCCGGCTCCAGCACCGGGCCTGCACAGCCGAAATCATAAGCAGGGAGGGAACAGTAGAGGCCAGCTGTAACAGAGAATTTGTTCTGTTGTCTTTTCTAAAGAATTTCCATTGCATTTCTCATCACTTCATTAATTTTTTTCTTGAAAACAGAAAGTACTCTTCTTAGCAATAGCCGCAGGCTATGTTTGAAACATCTCAGATGAGCTCCTCTTGAATTATTCATGTGATAAAATCTCAATAGATATCCAGAAATAGGATGTCTTTCTGTTTGCATAACTCAAAAACAACTTGACGGCATTTTGCTAAAAAGAAAAACTCTTTAACCCAAATCCAGATTTCAAAAATATCACCACCTTTTCCTTTCCACAAGTCAAATTTGCTGGAGAAAAATGGGCATGGAAAGAGAACCGTGGTACAATGCTTGCCTCTTCCCTAGTGCGTGTTTATGCATTTGTGCCTTATCGCTCAGGGATTACAAATAACTGGAAGCCAGGGACATTTTTAGATAAATAACTCGCCTGAACGTTTTTCTGGCACCATTTCACAATATCTGGGAAAATCTCATTAACAGAGCACGTGATCACAACTGTGGGCCCTGGTACGAAAACTTACTATGTAAATCAACACTCTATTTAGCCCTCTGTTTACCCCTTTGCTTTCCAAGGAACGAAAATTCCCTAAGTTCGTGTCCAAAGAAATGGAGAACATGTACATCGAGGAGCTGAAGTCCTCCGTCAACCTGCTCATGGCCAACCTGGAGAGCATGCCTGTGTCCAAGGGCGGAGAGTTCAAGCTCCAGAAGCTGAAGCGCAGCCACAATGCCTCCATCATCGACATGGGTGAGGAGAGCGAGAACCAGCTGTCCAAGTCAGACGTCGTGCTGTCTTTCTCCTTAGAGGTAAGGAGCCCTAAACCCTTGAAGCCTCTTGGCACAGCAAGCAGAACAGGAGTGATCAGATGCATCGCAGTCAGCTGTTTCCCTCTCCACACCCTTGAGCAGTTCCTAAAATAAAGGTTTGCATAGCTCAGGGCAGCTAATCAGCGAGAGATTCCCGCTGCAGGAGCCCACATTGTTCCTAAGGAAATGCAGTCTGAAGAGCCACCTACCCAATGCAGTCTTGGATTGCTTTCCCTGACTCAAGGATTTGTAAAGCCTTACGCAACTCAGACAGCTCCTAGTTTTGGCAACCTGTGTTACAGTTAAAGCAGTGGTGATTTAGCATTGTTCTGTGGTATGGTGCCAGTTTTCTTTCACCTCATCTTTCCTGTTGGCCACCCTGTGGAGTCCCTTGTTGCTGCAGCTCCTCTTTGACTGCATCTCTGCCCTGGTAGTAAGAACACACTCATGCCAGAACTACAGCAGAATGTTCAGCATGTCCACACGTCTCTGTAGATTTTCCCTTCATGCATTTGCTCCTCGTGTACGAGAGTTAGGAACAGCTTCTCATCGACCTACATCTGACTTGCACAGAAAGCTGGTTCAGTAAGACTTCTGGGCACTGCCCAGACTGGCTGAACCAGAGTCTTTAGGTGACAAGGGCAGAAGATGGCACAACCACTTTGGAAATAAGTTGATGCTTTCTCAGAGAAAGCACATGGTAACCCAGCAACCCCACTCTTTGGTGTCTCCTCAATAGAAAAGAAAGCACGTGTCCCCACAGTGTCTTGGTGGCAGATATTTAGAGCCATGCTGTTCCTAAAACCTAAAGCCAGTAACGCCCAAAGTGTCCAGCAGCTGGTGAATGGGTGAGCACAGTGGGACCTACAGTGGAGCACAGTGAGTCAGCAAGTGAAAGGGGTGACTATGGGTCTGTGCTGCAGCATGCTGAGCCGCAAAACTGCCATCTTAATGCAAGAGGCCAGGGCAGGGGGGATAGCTCAGTGGAAAAGGGCTTGCCTGGGAAGGACAAGGGCCTGGGTTCAATTCTTGGTACCACCAAAAACAATTAGAAACTGATCTATACTTATAGAGTGTTGTATGAAGTTTTAGGATGTGTACATACACCAAGTGGTATCCAAACCACCCCTATCTTCTTAAACATTGATTATTTCTTCATGGGGAAAACACACAAAGCCCTCTCTTTTAGCTTTTTTAATTATACAGCACAATCCCGCAGATATTTTATGATGACCCTAGGTTTGGAGAGATCAAGAGAATAGATCACACTTCTGTATATGTACTTATACCGTGTAAACACTAATTTTCTGGAACATCATTAAGGGTTTGGCAAATTTACTGCAGGTAATGTGTTTATCTGCTCAGTTCGGATGAGAATACTCACATTACACTACTTCAACATGTGTCATGCAGTAGGCAGAGGCGGTGTTCAATTAAATATAGAACACTTGGTGTGTGAAAAATCATCAGTGTAATTTCACAGAAACTTCCTTTTAAAAAAAATACTGCGACTGAGGTACTGAATGCTTCTTAGGTGTCTTTGAACATTATTGTTGCCAATTAAAGGTGGCAATTTATTCCTTACTGCCTCTTGTCTTCCTATAGAAATGACAAGAAGAGGGTTTATTGACTTTTATGAAGCAGTTAAGTCTGTAATTTTCAAATTCTTTATCAGTACTCAATATCATACAGCCGATTATTTAAAATATAGATGTGGGCAAGACCGCAGCCATATCCCCATGGTACATTATTCGAACAGCTTTGACTAATAATTACAAGTTCAGAGTGAGATATTCCAGGGCTCCCAAATGCTTTTTAATTGGAGCACTACATTGCACATCACAGCAAAGCTGCCAGCAAGAACCACGGCGCTTCTGTTTTTGAATGTGCTCTAAGGTGCGGTGAGCGGGGACAAGAGGGGACGAGCAAGCCCTTGTCATCTCATCAGCATGGACTGGGACCTGCATTCGAGGTCACACCAGTCACATTTCATGTCATCATAGACTCACACAGCTGGAAGGGACGCCAGGCAGCAAGTGACCTCACAGCACGGGCAGAGGGGTCCCACGTGCCTGGTGGCACTGCATTGGCCAAAGGGGTGTGCATTTGAGAAGATCGGGTGTTTATGGGGTGCTGTAGCTCTGGGAGTCCTCACCGCAGCACAAAGTTCAGGAGAGGTTGATACATTCGCAGAGGATCACGCAGTGAAGCTTTAGAATCAGATTTTGAAAGGGCTGGCGAGATAACTCAGCAGACTGAGCATCTGCTTAGGCAAGCACAGGGACTGGGGTTCAATCCCCGCCCCACATGCAGCGCTGGATCTACCCCCAGGCACGTTAATCTGGCCTCCGAGGCCGGGTGTGGTGGTGCATGCCCGTAACCCCAGTGCTGGGGAGGCTGAAAACAGGAGGATCACTATGAGTTCAAGTTGCACGGTGAGGCCCTGTACCAAACATAAAAAATAAAAAATAAGTCCTTTCAGAATCAGATTTTGAATTAAACTTTTTCAAACACCTCAAATAGGCACCTTTTCCAGGATGCCTTCCATTTCTTTCCATACGTACGGTTCTTTCCCCATATAAACTTTTACAATTTTGTACATCATCTCTTTGGGCCCTCCCACAATAGCCACAGATGTGTATCATTACCCTACACACACACACACATACATGCACATACACACACATATACACACATACGTGACTTCAGCCCTATGTCATCTGCCCAACATCATGAGTAGCTGCACAACGTGGCTCCTGCCAGTGGTGCGGGCATCACCATGGACAGTGCTGTAAGAGGAAGCCCCGGAGTCCACCCAACCTACTGGCCAGAAGCTCTGGAGACAGCACAGGAGCCTCTGGGTGGGGACGTCCTATGTCTTGTCCCAACTCACACAAAGCTTGAGAAGCCGTGGGCTGCTACACAGCAGGCCTGGGACTTGCCCAGCTCCATTATAGCTCCTTGCCTGGAGCACAGCGGGAAGTGCCCCTTCTCCGCACGCCTGCCTCTTTGTCCTTTCAGTGCTGTTCCGGTATGGAGAGCCATCCGCGTGCTAGGTTGGTCCTGGTGCGGCTCCTGGAGGCCCGGTGGAAGCCCTCAGCCGCTTCCTTGTGCGCTCTCACCACTTCGTCTCCTCTGGGTGGTGCTGCCCGCTGGCCCTGGGAGTGACCGCTGTGCCGTGTGCTCCGCTTGCAGGTAGTGATCATGGAAGTCCAAGGCCTCAAGTCCTTGGCTCCGAATCGCATCGTCTACTGCACGATGGAGGTGGAAGGAGGGGAGAAGCTGCAGACGGACCAGGCCGAGGCTTCCAAGCCAACGTAAGTGCATTTTCTCTGCAGAACATCAGGCAGGGGTGCTGCAAGCACATCTGCCAAAGCTGTCTCCAAGACACAGGTTGGCTGCCCCAGAAGGCCGGGCAGACATGCACTGCGTGGAGTTGCCAAGCGAGATGCCTTTACTGTGTTTTAATTCAGCAGCCATAGCAAGGGTTCCAGTTCCTCCAAAGCTGAGAACAGGGCACAGAAGCAGTAAGTAAGTCTCCTTTCTGGAGGCGAGAGAACTTGATATAAATTTGTGTCATTATATTTTTCTAAATAACGCGGGTAACAGGAAAACACAATATTTTTCCAAAGTCTTTGTGTGCATGCATTCGCAAAGCAGCGTACCACCTCGACCTCGTGCATTAATTCATGCAGTCGTTTCCAGGGCTCCCTGCACGGGTGCTGCAGTAGGGTATGGCACAATGGAATCAAAAATATTAACGCAGTTTTAACTCAGTTCGTATCACAGGTCAGTGGTTACATCAGAAAAATTACTCCCACAGATGGCTAATTATGAATAGTCAGAACCCGTGACTCTGGCTTCCATACCCCAAAGTCAACCAATTATGGGCTGAAAATTTCCAGCAACAGCATTCACGCGTGTGTGCAGCGTGGTATTTTTTCTTGTTGTTATCTCCTGAGCAATGCAGTGTTGTGACTACCTCTGTAGTGCTCACCTTGCACTAGGCTTTATGAGTAACCGCAGAATCATGTAGCATGTCCAGGAGGACGTGCGCAGCTTATGTGCCGACCCCCCAGCACTCTCCACAAGGACGTGGGCAGTTCTGTGGATGGCAAGAGGCAGCCATGACTATGAATGCTGAGGAAGGCTTGGGAAGAGAGAACAGGAGGCCTGAAATCAGGCTGCGAGGACACAGTCAGCAGAGGTTCTCCTTAGGACACGTGGGACATTGGACCGAATGTTACCAAACTGAAGGGGTGGGGTGGGGTGGAGTGGAGTGAGTGGCTTCCACGAAGGCCTTGTGGTCAGCTATGGCCCCAGCAAGAAGCCTTCAAAGGCCCGTGGGGCCGAGTTGCCCGACAAGGAGTTCCCTAGGCTTCCATCAAGGCAGGCAGAGGCCAATCCCAAGGGCCGGGTCAGGTCACAGGGATCACACTGACAGACATGGTCGGACATGTGTCTAGAAAAGCTCACTGTGGGCCCGGGGGAAGTGGTCAGAGGGACGCAGGGTCCTGGGGCCGTGGGCAGCGGGCAGTGAGGGTTCTGTTCCAGTCAGCACTCTCTCAGGCGGCCGAGCTTCATGGATAGTCCCTGCCGCCTCCCTGTCGCCCCCGCCTCTGATCCCTCCTCCCCTGCGTCTGTTAAGGCAGCCTGGACTAAGGGCCATCTTTTTCATTGGTATTAATTCACAAGAGAGACATCAAAAGGGGAAGCACTCGGCCCCTCCCCTCCGCCCAAGCACTCAGAGCTCCTTGGCAGAAAGCGAATAACTCAGTAGGATGTTCCAACAGAGCCATTCAAAGGTAGCGCAGGGCCAGAGAGGAGCCAGGGCCTTGTGCGCCCTCAGCGGCCTTTGGCATCAGCAGGCCAAGGCTCCCCAGCCCAGGAGCCGGGAAATTCATGAGCATGCGCGGGAGGAAGCGAGCCAGGACGGCCTGGCCCGCACCTTCCCTCCGCCTTTCCCACGTAGTCCCACACTCGCGATGATTGCAGTGTCCTTTGTACTGCCACGGGTGAAATTCCAGTTTTTCCTCCAACAGTCTGATCATGATCAATGTTGTTACAGTAAGCTGCACTGCTTATTTGCGCTTTTCAAAGTGTGTGACATGGAGGGGGAAGAAAACCCTGGTCAGTGTTTCTGCAGCCCTCTCCAAGTCTGGGTGCAGGATGCTGTCCTAGGACAGAAAGGGAGGCCACAGGCCCATCCCAGCGTTGTTCTTCCGTGGGGCATGTTTTAGCTCAAAGGGTAATTTGTATCATCGGGAACGGATTCAGTCTTCGGATTAATGAGTTGATTTTCCTGTATTCATGAATGTTTAATTCAGGGTTTCATATTGCGAATAAGTGCAGCTGACTGTTGTCTGGCTTGGCATAGTCCTGTTTCACGGCCACGTCTACTCGCAGCCATAGCCGTGCTTTCCGACGGCCATGCATCTCACGGTGGAGTACCCTGCTGTTCTAGCTGGAAGCTGGGACTTCTTTTTATTGCTCTCCCATCAGGCTGTATCACTAAAACCCCGCAGGGGAGCTGTTGGTCTGTTTGCTATGAGTGCAAGTGTCGTGACCAGCATGACATCTGTGGATAACGGGTATCTAGAGTGATCCACTCGGAAGACTCCCGAGGTCGAATATGCATGCAGAGGGAAGAAGGGGCCTGATGCACTTGTAATGATGGGGGCGAAGGAGCCAAGAGCAAGTGGAGGCAGAGGCTCCCCTC